CTGGAGCAGGAGCATTTATGCAAGATTTATTTATCAATCAGTATTCAGTAAATGCTAATAATGATTTTGCTTTTACAGAAGAAATTATAGCTGAAGACAAAATCTTTGGTTCTTGCTGTTGTGAAATATCTGTGATTCTGCTGTCTGATTCAAAATTCGGAATGATCAATTTACAATTCCATCAGTTTGTATTTGAAAGTGAAAAACGGTTGTTATGTAAATGCTACTTCCTTCTTATAGACCTCTGGAAGAGACTGGTTCAACTGATGACACAAAACAGTCATTGTAACTAACCGGTGATTGTTGAATTCAAGCTTCGCAATTGGGAGTTTATTTCAATTTACTCTAATTTAGTATAAGCTCTTTACTTTTTAAACTTGCATCCATAAATGTTCTCAACTGTTTCTTGAAAATATCTGGTTTAAAAACAAGTGAATCCTTGAAAAATTCTGTATGCTACTTTGTACTTCAATCCTCAAAACAGTACTTTTTTTTCAAAAAATGCATCTTGAAAGAGAAGCAAGCCCGATTAGAAAAATTAATCTATGGAAAGTGCACACAAACGTATGATTCATAAATTATTTATACAGTGCACCATTCACCTAGAGTTGTCATAAAATATTTTAGCTTTTCTATTTCTAGCTAATGTGCCACTCTATTGTGAAATTCAAAATATAAATAGGTTCTCTGATTCTTTAACTATGTTTTTTTGTCTCCAGTATTCTCATTTTATTACAGTTCTGTCCTTCATTCTTTTCTTCTATCCCATCATTTTCCCTGCATGCTGTTCATTCTACTTTACAATATGTTTTAGTCAGCAATCCTGGCAGCTAGACATAATCTAATGATAAAATGCTGATATCTGCTCAAAATGTTTGAAGACAGCTGTCAAATAACTGGGATATAACTACTTGGAAATGACTGTGAGAAACTAGTCATTGCAAGAGTTGTTTGTGCACTAAAGGCATGAATTTTGCTGACTGAAACTTTCTGTCAAACCTTGGGTAACTCCTTATGTCTGGGATTTTGCACATGAAAAGCACTTTATCAGTTTGTGCAGCTTCTTAGCCTTCTGCAGGTTCCTGTAAGATTAATTGGAATTCAACAACACAACAGAGAAAAAAGGCAGTATGGTTTTGAACAACAGTAAAATACTGCTCTAAAAATCTGGAATAAATACAGAAAATGCCTGAATTACTCAGTGTCAGGCAGCATCCATGGTGAGGAAAAAAAGTTAATATTTCAGGTCAATGAACTTGCATCGGAATTGGGAAAAGTTATATCTCTAATAGGTTTTAAACGATAAAGGTGGGAGAGATAAAAGGGAAGGATTTTATTAGGCTGTAAGGTATGAGAAATTGGATGACAAAGGGATGTAACACACAAAGGCATTGTAATTGGGCAAGTACAGAAACAAGACATATCTAGATAAAGTAAGAACACGAGAAATAGGAGCAAAAGGCACTATTGCCCAAAGAGTATAGTGTGCCATTTTGCATGATGATGGCTGAACTTGAGCTTCAGCTCCTTAAATCTTCCTGTCGACTCCCCATATCCCTCAATTCCCTGAGAGATCCAAAATCTGTCCATCTTGGCCTAAATTATATTCAATGATGTTGCATCCCACAATCCTCTTGGGTAGGGAATTCTAAGGATTCGCAACTCCTGAGTGAAGAAATTGGTCTTCTTCTCAGTCCTAAATAATCAACTGATTATCTTGAAACTGTGCCCCCTTTTTCTAGATTCCCTATCCACCATCAATATGTCAAATCCCTACAGAATTTTGAATGATTCAATGAGATCACTTGTCATTCTTCTGAACCCTAGCTTATAAGGATATATTTGCAAAGCCTGTCCTCGTGGGTCACAAGTAAGAGGGTTTTCTTATCAAGTGATCCTTGACTACAGTGTTTCCATTGCAAGAATATTCTTCCTTCAAAATGGAGACCACAATTGCACACAGTATTCAAGATTCCAGAAATATTTTCTCAAAGGGCCGTGAATCTGGAATTCACTACGCTAGGCTGTGGTGGATATTTTGTATACTGAGTAAATTTAAGGAGGGCATATTAAATATCTGTCTTAGTCATAGGTTGAAGGGTTGTAGACAGCAGGCAGGAAAGTTGAGTTGAGGCTGAGATGAGATCAGCCATGATCATATTAAATGGTGGAGCAGCTTCATGGGGCAGAATTGTCCACTGCTCCTAGTTCTTAAGTGCTTTCTGTTTTCGAAATGCCAAGTGTTTGTTTCATAATGATGCCAATTTTAAATGTAATAAATGCTTGTATAAAGAACATACCTTTTTATTTTCGTGTTTTTTGTGGACTGAAATGGGAAAGGACTATTTTATAATGCTGTGCTTTCTTAAAGCAAGTTAGCAACACATACTGTAAGTGCAGTTTATATTTGTTTGTTCAACTAGTGGGGTAAGTTTAGTACAGATGACCTGCAACCACGGGTGTGTAAAAGGGAGATTTGGCCAGCAATAAGCAGCTGATTGGTCTGCAGAGTGGTGACCAGTTGTCAGTGACAAAGGCCTTTTGTCTGCCCTCAGCTATGTGAATATGCTCGAAGGTAGCTGAACAGCTTTTGGGCATGAACAGGAGGATATAGAAGCCTTCGGATCTCTCGAAGGAGAAGTGCTGCCCTTATCACTGCAGTAAAATAACAACTAAAGCCTGAAGAAAGCCTGTTTATTTTTCTTCACCAGTTACTGTAAACTGTTGCTTTTAGCTAGTAAGTCAGAGACTTGCCAATGTGATGCCACTGTTTAAAAAAGTAAGTAGACAAAAAGCAGGTAACTATAGGCCAGTATCGCTTAACTTCAGTAGTGGGGAAAATGCTTGAATCTATCATTAAGGAAGAAATAGCAAGACATCTGGATATAAATTGTCCCATTGGGAACACCCAGCATGGGTTCATGAAGGGTAGGTCATGTTTAACTAATTTGGTGGAATTCTTTGAGGACATTACGTGCATGGTGGACAGTGGGAAACCTGTGGATGTGGTGTATCTGGATTTCCGGAAGGCATTTGACAAGGTGCCACACCAAAGGCTGCTACATAAGATAAAGTTGCACGGTATTACAGGTAATGTATTGGCATGGATAGAGGATTGGTTCACCAGTAGAAAGCAAAGAGTAGGGGTAAATGGGTGTTTATCTGGTTGGCGGTCAGTGGCTAGTGGTGTGCCTCAGGGATCAGTATTGGGACCCCCATTGTTTACAATTTGCATAGATGATTTGGAGTTGTGGAGTAGGTGTGGTGTGTCAAAATTTGCAGATAACACTAAGGTGAGTGGTAGAGCAAAGTGTGCAGAAGACACTGAAAGTCTGCAGAGGGATATAGATAGTCTAAGTGAGTGGGCAAAGGTCTGGCAGATGGAGTACAATGTTGATAAGTGTGAGGTCATCCATTTTGGTAGGAATAACAGCAAAATGGACTGTGTTTTAAATGGTAAAAAATTGCAGCACGCTTCTGTGCAGATGGAATTGGGTGTCCTTGTGCATGAATCGCTAAAAGTAGGATTGCAGGTGCAGCGGGTAATTAAAAAGGCAAATGGAATTTTGTCTGCCATTGCTAGAGGGATGGAGTTTAAAAACAGGGAGGCTATGCTGCAGCTGTATAGGGTCCTGGTGAGGCCACACCTGGAGTACTGTGTGCAGTTTTGGTCTCCTTACTTCAGGAGGGATATACCAGCACTGGAGGGTGGTGCAGAGCAGATTCACTCGGTTGATTCCAGAGTTGAGAGGATTGGATTATGAGGAGAGACTGAGTAGACTGGGATTATACTCATTGGAATTCAGAAGAATGAGGGGAGATCTTATAGAAACATATAAGATTATGAAGGGAATAGATAAAGTGGAGGCAGGGAGGTTGTTTCCGCTGGCAGGCGAAACTAGGACTAGAGGGCATCGCCTCAAAATAAAGGGAAGCAGATGTAGGACTGAGGTCAGGAGGAACTTCTTCACCCAAAGGGTTGTGAATCTGTGGAATTCCCTGCCCAGTGAAGCGGTTGAAGCTACCTCGCTGAATGTTTTTAAGGCAAGGCTAGATAAATTTTTGAACAGTAAAGGAATTAAGGGATATGGTGAGTGGGCGGGTAAGTGGAGCTGAGTCTCAAAAAGATCAGCCATGATCTTATTAAATGGCGGGGCAGGCTGGAGGGGCCAGATGGCCTACTCCTGCTCCTAGTTCTTATGTTCTTTATAATTCATGAACCACTTGGCCTGTGCCTGTGTCCCCTCAAAGGAAGTGGAGTAGAGAGAAGTGATCAATGAAAGCAAGTCCTGACTAGCCAAATGCAGCATCTCAGCAGACCCTGTGGACTGGACCCATTGAACTGCCCTTCTCAGTTTGGTCCTCCACACATAACACTATTGAGTTTTTCTCTCATCTGTTCTAAAGAAGAGTCACTGGACCCAAAACGTCAACTCTGATTTCTCTCCACAAATGCTGCCAGATCTGTCAAAATTTCCTAGCAATTTCTGGTTTTGGTTCCGATTTCCAGCATGCACAATTCCTTCAGTTTTTTTGTCTCATTTGTCTCTCTCGCTCTGTGTGTGTGTGTTTATTACAGAGGTTAGAGCATTAACAAGTAGAGTTATATGCTGACTGTTCGTATTTGTGTACCTGTAGCTAAAATCTATTTATTTATAATAAGTAGTGTACAGAGACCTGGTCCATGCTTTCTGTCAACCTTGGTCTAAAATGTCAAGTGAATTAGGATATTTTGTGTACTTTAATAAAATCTTAACTTCTGGGATAGCGGGACTTGATTTCCAGCTCTCTACCCCGGTGCATCATGACACTGGTGCATACTTCGTATTGGAATTACAATTCAAGATTGCATAATTTTTAGTTTTGAGCTTAGAGTTGTTATTAAAATATACTTTTTGTTAAAAATCAGACTTTCAACTTCAATGCGTTAATTTCTCTATTATTGACTTGTGTTAAATTGCTTGGATGCCTTCTAATATGATTTATTCCTCCTTTTCTAGGCAGAGAATCCAGTCGATGGACCTGCTTCAGGTTACGGTTCATTTCACCAGCAGTACTGGTTAGATGGAAAGATTATTGCAGTCGGAGTAATAGACATTCTTCCTCACTGCACTTCCTCAGTGTACCTTTATTATGATCCTGATTATGCATTCTTGTCGTTGGGAGTTTATTCTGCACTCAGGTATAGTGAGCTTTTATTATGCTTTTTCATATCCTTTCATTTGTACATTTTATGTTACTAATTTGTATGACTTCCTCAGATCAGATATACTGTAACATTTCCAGTTTGGAATGTTTGAGAGCAAGTTAATTCTGCTCATTAATAGCATGATGTTAGAATGCCTAACTGCAATGCATGAAGTGGAAAAGATTATAAATTTAAATATTTACATCAAATGTAAAACGGTGATCAAACATTATAAAGGTGTTAAAATAAATTGTTTTGCATATCCAAATACTGTCTTCCAAGTTTCTGCTCCCAAAGTATTGTACGAAAACAATTCCCTGGTGTTGTTGAAATGTTTTGGTCTCCTCAAAAAAAAAGGCCAGACACCTGATGTTTGCAGATGACAGGTGATTTTCACCACTTTGATGTTAAATGAGATAGTTTTAGTGTATAAGATGAGGATGGAAAAAAAGTCTTAAATTATACTTGAGAAGCTTTTTTAGCCAGTTTATGGCCCAACAAGAGAGGGGGCTGTTCTGGATCTAATATTTGGTGATGAGTCTAGGCGGGTATAAGTAATGTCAGTAAGGGAGCAATTTGGAGATTGTGTCTATAACTCAGTTATAGTAATGGAAAAAGACAAGAATGGGCCAGAAATACAGGTTCTAAACTGGTGAAAGACGTATTTTACTAAGGTAAGATATAATGTGGCCCAAGACAACAGGGGCGACTACTTTCAGATAAAACTGTGTCAGAGCAGTGGGAGGCATTCAAGGAGGAAATAACGAAAGTACGGGGAAATAAGTTTCTATAAATGCAAAGGTCTTTGTCCAAGACTGGAGAACCCTGGTTGTTAAGGGATATAAAGGTTTGGATTTTAAAAAGTGAAGCTTATTGCAGTTTGAGTGCTCAATATGGCAGGATCTCTACAGGGATATAGTGGAAGAGGAGCTTGAAGTTATAAATTAAGAAAGCAAAGATTGCATGAGAAAGCAGAATAAAAGAAAATCCAAAAGGGTTTAAATATACAGAGTTGGACAATAGTAATGGTAAGGCCTTAGGGATTATAGAAGTAAACTGTGTATGCACCTGAAAGACTTGGGCACAGTCCTCAATGAATGCTTGCATCATCTTCACAATGGAAAAAGTCATCGCAGGTGACTTAATACTTAATTTCTTCTAAAATTTCAAAAATATTAACAAAGAGGAGATAATGGTATGTTCAGCAGCCTTAGAAGTGAATAAATCTACAGGCCACGGATGAGATGTATTCCAGGCTGTTGGATGAGTTAAGGGAGAAAATATCAAGGCCCTTGGCAGTAATTTTCAAATCCACTGGCCACAGGTAAAGTGCCAAAGGATTGGAGGACTGGGATTTATGCAGTTCGGTCTTTGAAGACTGGTGCTGACACAGCAGACTGTGCTGTTGTGCTGTATATGTCTGAGTCTGAGATTTCTGGATTGGAGAGATTACAATGTATTTGATTAGAGGTTAAAATGATGGTAATTTGTATTTTGTTTAATTTACCAGTTGTTTTACATTAAAACTAAATGAGAATAAGTTACAGTGTTCCTCAATATTGTGCACGCCCATCTGATGTTATGATAATCCAATTCATAATGATCCAAAGTTTTCAAAGTTTGTAAATTATATTGTTGGGTAGGAAAATTGCAAATGCTACTCCGTTATTTAAAATGGATGAAACAGATAATGGGTCCATTTAGCATCATATTTGTAAACGGTGCTGGAATCTATCATCAGAGACAACCTTGGTTGAAAATCAACTGATCTAAGAGAGTCTATATGAATTTGTGAAGGCTAGGTCAAGTCTGACTAATCTGGAAGAATTTTATTTTATGTTTACAACTTGCAACATGGATGTGGCCAGTGGATTTTGTTCATATCTAGCAGGAATAAAGGATTTGTTTTCTGATTTGCAAAATGTGACAAGTTGTGTTCCTTGGAGACCTGTACTGGGACCTTTGCTTTTCATCATATATTAATGACTCCGATATAGACATCGAAGAATGTAAATCCAAGTTTGCAGATGAAGTTATTGGCATATAGCTTTACTTCACCTGAAGATTACTTAATCTATGAATTTAAATCATGAGCATAGGTTAGAAAAAAATAGAGATAGTAAGAACTGCCGATGCTGGAGTCTGAGATAACACAGTGTGGAGCTGGAGGAACACAGCAGGCCAGGCAGCATCAGAGGTTTGTTCCCTGATAATCAGAGGTTGAGAGATGATTTTAATCAAGGTGTTAGAATGATACAGGAATTTAGTGACAGACACAGACTACGCCCACTATCGCTAGAAACGAGAAGGAGGACATTCAAGTAGCACGAGAGTTAGTCAGTTGAGGAGAGAAATTTGCTGCTATTCCTGCCTGGAGCTATCCTGTCAGGAGATCTGCTGTCATAGCGTGTCACACTCCCCTGTTTTGTGCCATCCTTTCACATTCACTGTAGCATGTCTGCAGTCACAAGCTATCATCCAGCACTGCCTTGGTTGACCAATTTTTCTGCTGCCTTTCACTTTTCCCTATAGGAGAGAACTCTGTATCTTTTCAACTCTAATCAAATACCAAAATACTGACATTTTACCATCTTGGACTTTATACATCGTTATCCTGATATTATCCTTTCCTCTATCTGTCAGAGACTTTACCTTTCGGTGCATAACTTGTGATTTTCTTAGCAGCTCCAGTACTTCGTTGCATATATCATTGTGTCATTTATCTTAAGACTGTCAAGATCACCCTTTTTCCATACAAGAGTAGTGGAAATTTTGAACTTTCCCATCCAACATGCAGTTTAGATACTGGATCAGTTGAAGTTTTCAGTGCTTTTGTCAATAGATTTTTGTTGGGTTATTACAGGTTATTAAAGTATTTTGAAAAAGGTCAAAAAAGATCTAATTGAGTGCACACACTGCAGGACTCTTTGGACTTACTGTTACCGTGTTGTAAGATTGAAGTAGTTTACCATAATAGAGCAAAGCAAAACTTTAGAGAGATTTGAACACCAGAAAGAAGAATTTAAGTCAAAGGTGTTGTTGGGCCAGTAACCAACATTAGTTAATAATCACGCATCGGTGGCAGTTAGAATGCAAGAAAAGTTTGTGAAGACTGGAAGATGGGAGACTTGCCAAGGGAGCATTGAATAGATAAGTTTGAAGGGAACAAAAACATAAATGAAAGTTTCAGCAGTGTTTATACTGAGGTGAAGATGTGCAGTATCCAAAGATGAGACTTGAACCCCAACTTTCTGACTCACAGAGAGTGCTACTAACTAAACACAGCTGAACAGCCAAACAAGTTTGTAGTGAGTTTGAGCTAGCTATTATCACCATACAATGGAACCTGATGATACGTATTTAGTTTATCTTACCAAGGACCGGCACATAGATGCAAAATAGGAGAAGGCAAAGTAGCAAATCTTGAGGGATTCCAGAGGTAATGGTATAAAAATGAGAAGAAAAACTTGCAGGCGATTCTCGGACTATGACTGGCATCGACTGCAGTCCTATTTAGATGGGCAATGCAGAAATATGACACGATCAACATTGTCATAGATTGCATGTAAGACCATTAGAAGGTGTTTGGCTCCTAGAGCCTGCTCCCCCATTCAATAAGGTCATGCTGGTCTGACATTCCTCTGATCACTTTCCTGCTTTTTCCCTGTAACCCTTGATTCTCTTACTGATCAAGAATCTATCTATCTCAGCTTTAACTATACATAAGGACTCTGCCCCGCATCTCTCTATGGCAAGGAGTTGCAGAGAACTCCATTCTCTGAGAGGAGAAACTCCTCCTCATCTCCATCTTCTGAGACTGTTCTGTAGTCCTTGACTCTCCCGTGAGGGAAAACATCATGTCAGCATTTACTCTGTCAAGCCCTTTAAGAATCCTATATGTTTCAATGAGATTACCACTCAATCTTCTGAACTCCAGTGAGTAGAGTCCCAACCTGTTTACCCTCATCTGTTGAAACAATCCCTTCATACCAGTGACCATCTTTGTGAACCTTCTCCAAACTGCCTCCAATGAAATGATATGTTGCCTTAAATAAGGGGACCAAAACTGCTCACAGAACTCACCTGTACCTTGTACGGTTTCATTAAGAATTCCCTACTCTTATAAGCTAACTCCCTGGAAATAAGGGCCAACATAGACCTCCTGATTACCTGCTACACCTGTGTGTGTGTGTGTGTGTGTGTGTGTGTGTGTGTGTGTGTGTGTGT